GACTTGAACTGTTGACAACGAAAAGAAACGAGAAGGAATAAGGATATATACACTCACTAATGGTATTTTACCCCAAAAAAAATACTCAGGTATTTTGAACAGCATAAACTGCTGGCACTTTTGTTCGATCCATACAACTATTTTGATTTCTGTTTGAATTGGGATAGTTTCGGAAAGTGAGAAGCACTACAAGGAGATTTAAGAAACTTGATGGATTATTATGTGGTATATATAAAAAATCAATAACAAATTGTTTTTCTACGGAGATGATCAATTTGTAACTATCTACTCCCTCTGTTCAGAATTATTTGATGTTTAAAGTTTTTGCACACAATTTAAGGATTCATTTAATTTTTATTTTTTCTATACTAAAAATATTATTTATAATTCATTTAAATATCATTCAGCCAATAATAAGACAATCTGCAGAATATAAAAGGTCAAAAACTATAAAAATTCATTAAATTTTGCATTGAAAAGTGAGAACATCAAATAATTCTGAACAAAAAAAACCTTCTAAAACATCAAATAATTCTGAAGAGAGGGAGTATAAGCTTTAGAAACAAAAATTAGTCTAAGACTTGTGGCAAAATTAAAACTTGTAACTTTAGAGTGTTAAGTTGTAAAGGTGAAACTGCTGACTAGGACTAGCGTTGGAAACTAGACTGATCCAATTACTTCTTGATGATGATGACAATTAATGCTGGCGACGGATGGATTATAAATCTATCGGTGAATTACTACCAATTCTACTATTTCTTCTTCTTGAATGTATTGATGTGAAACAATGTGATATGACTATATCAAACCGGTCCCGATCAGGGAGATCCTTGGGATCCTGTTTGATATCCACCACATCTCCTCTTTTTTCGATTCTGCATCTTTTATTTTCATTCCAAGAGAGAAAAACAAACAGGCTGATTGTTTGGCAAAAGCTTGTCTCCGTACCGTTTCTCTGGTACAGGAGGTGAACCACCTGGTTTAATCTTGAAATGAAAGGAAAATTTGAACAAAAAAAAAAACAATGTGATATGACTATAAGTTGGTATGTATTAGTATATTAGTATATTTTTCTTCCCAACAAGTTGGTATTAATATATACTAGATAAGTACCCATACATATGCGTGGGTTTTCTTTTTAATATTTTTATAATGTTTAAAACTGAAGTTTAGTTTTATCCTTAAATTTCAGTTTACAATTCCTTCACTATATCAAACCGTTCTAGTTATCTAGACTGTCGATCAAAAACAAAAAAAAAACTGAAACTTAATTTAGATTTTTGGTGATGTTAAAAAAAAAATTTAGATTTTTGGTTTTTTTGGATTGGCCATATATATGTTTAGAGAGATTAGTTGTTAACTTGTTTTGTTAAAGTGATTTTGTTTTAATTAGTTTTTTTCTCGACTTTTTCTTTGGTTTTATGAAATCTGATCAGAAATTTTCTCTACTAAGAAACGTTGTATTCAATTAAACGTGAAAAATTATCTTGAACATCATACACAAAGATATGAGAATTCAGCAAATACTAAATATTATGATTAGGAACCTAAGAGATATATTCTCAAAATAAATGGATAACTTTATTTCATAAAATTTTCATATTCTCATTGGCAAAACCGTCACAATCTCCACTAAAATTAGAAAAGTTAGGAAATGAATATAGCATGAAAATCTGTGATTTTTTATATTATATATTATCTTTTGCATCACAGGTACAGTTTGGAACTTTAGATAAACATGATCAGCTATTGTAAAAGCTAACCAAATACGTCTTTCTCCATTTTCACCATCGGATTTGGCTTTTGCTGCTCCAGTGGCTTTTTATTGCAATACTTGGGAGAACCAATACTCCAACTCCAAGATCTGATGGAGATAAAACAAGCTACATTTTATGCACATAAAATGATATAAATTATATTTATCTTTTCTCCACAAAAATTTCTTTAATAATAATTCATTGAGACGAGATTTTTATCATTTCTGGTAAAAACATAGATATTAAAAAATTTACTAATGGATGTAATAGGTCTTTCAGAGTATTATTTTTCTCCCTTAAAATTTTCTCTAAAACAAAAATAAATAGAATAGATAACTTACACCAGCTTAACTTAAAACAAAGTTTTTAGAAATTATTATTATTATAGCTTCGTCGCCGAATTATTATTATTTTAGAAATTATTATTATAGCTTTGTCTTGCTATTTACTCTCACAGAATTCTCGAAACCATCATACAAAATCTTCTTTTTAAAAGCAAAATTCGTCTTTTCCTTTAAATAAACACAAACGATGGTATTAAATGTAGATGTCTCTGCCCATGACCAAGAAATAAATCTTAGACCGTGGATTTGTGAACAACATTCACTTTAGTAAGCTTCTATATAGAAATTTGCATAAGTTACAACGTGGAAGCTGTAGATTAGAGATTTATTAGAAAATCTTAGGTAATATTTACTTCTTTCCATGTCTTCTCCTCTATATTTGCTGATTATTTTTTATGCGTTGAAACATGAGTGACCAATATTTAAGACAACGTTTGAAGCATCATTAAGAATAGGAAGCATCAAAAATGGGAGTCAAAAAGCCATGAGGTCCATGATGGTAAATAAATCAGTGCACAGAAAAATGAACATAAAAGTAATTAGCTTAAATTAATTAGAGTTTCACTAAAATTTTTAAATAAAAAATAAATGAGCTGATGTGTCATTCAAAGGAGTGCTGATGTGTCAAGTTTGTGAGACTCAAGTGACTCTTTATATAATAGACTAGATGATTACCCACGCAAATGCGTGGGTATTTTTTATTATTATTTTATCTAGTGTTTAATTTAGATATTGTTTTTGGATATTTATGTAGAAAAAATTAGTTATTTACTTATTTTTTAACGTGTTTTTGTTTTGGTTAGCTTTTTTATTGGTTTTTTTATAAACTTATTGGGTTTTTTGGTTAGTTTTTTACCTATTTTTTTAAAGTGTTCTTATTTTGGTTGGCTTTTTTTATTGGCTTTTTCTTTTATCTTCAAAAAGTTAATTAAACTTTCCTCTACTAAGAACAGTTAATTTCTTTTTTTATGACTACATCATTTTTTTGAAACATCATAAACAAATCTAGATGCGAGAATCCATCAAATCTAGATATGTAATCTATATTTTTTTATTGGTATTAAAAGTAATATGATAATTCTCATGATTATTCAAACACAAAGAAACTTGCGGCATCAAACAGTTCTTCAAATCAAAATAGCTTACATGATCATTATATCAGCCATCTTATGGTAGATACTTATTCTTTTTCTGTTATGTGAATTAAATTCAACCTAAAAAAACAAACTATTAGCAAGTTTTCACTTTTTTTGTAAAGCTTACTCAAGTTTACTAAATTTAGTGCATGTTAGTTATCATTAACTTACCTAAACAAATGTTCCACTTTTTTCCTTGCTTGTTTCCAACGCTTGTTTACTTTGATTTCCATGCATGTATTACATTCAGTGATTTGCTATACTCCCTCCGTTTCATAATAAGTGTCGTTTTAGATTTCATTTTTTGTTTCAAAAAGAGTGTCATTCTGCATTTTCAATATAACTTTTTACTCTTATTTCTTGTTTTACCCCTCATTTAAAGATAATAGTCTTTGTAATTAAATGTTATAAAAGTATATTAATTAGGGGTATATTTGTATATTTTATTAATTTCTTAATCTGTGTGAAATGTGTCAGAATGACACTTATTATGAAACGAATAGAGTATTGTTTTATTTAAACAATGTTAAGAAGATCACTGCATTATCAAGTTGGAAATATAACGCTAAGTCGCTAACCATTTGCCAATACAATTGATCCTCATCCATGAAGCAAACCCCTATAGATTCTCTAATAACCAACGTAGTAAGAATTTTGTTTTTTTATGATCATAGAGTCAAAAAAATGTTTAGTAACAAAAATTAAATTAGTTGCAAATTTCATTTCTCTTTTGAGAACCCAAATAAGCAAGGTAAAAAAGTAACTACTCATCTTTCATAAGTTCATAGTCACCATAATTGAGAAATGTATGTTGTAAATTAACATTCAAACAGTAAAGTAAAAAAAAGTAGAGTTCTTAATCATACCAATCTTCGAAGTCATCTTGCTATTTATTTTTTATAGCATTCTCGAGAAAAAATTTTCTTCTCCTTTAAACGCACAAAAATGAGTGTTATATGTCTGACCGTAACCAAGAAATAAAATCTAAAATATTTATTGTCGTAAGCTTCTATATAGAAACCTGTATAAGTTACAATTTAAAGCTGTAGATTGGAGATTTATCATAAAATTTTGAGTTTTTTTTTCTTTTCTTCTCATTCATATATGCGTTGAAACATGTAAAAAAAATCTTCATATTAACAATGTTTAAAGCGTCATTAAGAATATGAGACATCAAAAGCTGAAGTCAAAAAGCCATCATGATAGATAATCAAATCACAGAGAAAATGACCACAAAAATAATTAGTTTTTTTAATAATAAATAAGTGAGCTGATGTGTCATCTTTAGTTTTTTTAATAATAAATAAGTGAACTGATATGTCATAAGAAAGGTTATTGATGTGTCAAGTTTGTGAGACACAACCCACTCTTTATATAATAGATTGGAAAAAATAATAACCTTTCAAATTATGGTCCATAATCTCAAGTTCACAGCAACTCTACTATTTTCATTTTCATTATCAAGATGGATATAGATTGTGGCCCTAAAGAAACATAGCTTGTGCCCATTCTTCTCTAACAACCGCGTTTAAGCAAAAATGTAGAGTTAACTTGGTACAGTGAAGAAGGTTTATTTTTACAAAATCATAATTTTATAAGAAATTTTTAACACCGGTATAACTTAAGGACCGAACCGGTACGCCTGAGAATTAGACACGGTGTATTAAACCGGAATGATTTCCCGGTCTATTGTGTCCACTGGTTTTAATTAGTCGTCTTTGTTCGTTCGTCAACATCATTCTGTTACCTTAAACCCTAAACAAAACCTCTTCTCTTCGAGCTATGGCGGCCTTTGAAACAGGGCAGCAAGACAGAGCTGATGAAAACGATGAAATTGCGTTCAAAGATGGCGACACTGACATCTGCCAACAGCTTATGGACCGTTATGCCAAGTCCTCCGCCTCGCAGCACCGCCATCTCGTCGCCACCGCCGCCGCGATGCGCTCCATTCTCACCGCCGAGTCTCTTCCGCCGTCTCCTCCTGCTTTCTTCGCAGCTGCTATATCCTCGTTGGATTCTTCGACGGCTGATCCCATGGCGGTTTCTGCTTTGCTTACATTCCTGTCCTTAGTCGTTCCTCTTGTTCCTCCCGGAGAAATTTCAGCTACTATGGCTCGAGAGGCTGTGATTGTTCTGGTAAATAGAATTGACGGAGAAGGAGATAAACTAGGGGTTGCGAGCTTGAGAGCTGGTGTGAAGTGTATTGGAACCTTGCTCATTGGCTTCTGCGATTTGGATGATTGGGAATCTATTCGAATTGGGTTTGCTTCACTTCTCAAATTCGCCATTGATAAACGTCCCAAGGTATCACTTTTGAGCTTCCCTCTTCTTTAATTTGAGCTTCCGAATCACTATTGTCAATGGAATGACAATTTGTTTTTTATGATTAGTATGCTCTCTGTAAAGTGTTGAGCTTTCTCTATTTGCAGTTTCTATGAATTCTTTTTGTTAATCTAGTTATATATCAGTGTGCTTGCTGGTGGAGAAGCAATACTTGTATATCTTTATAGAGTTTCATTTTTTGCAAGAAGTAACATTTTGTGTTGACAAGCAATCTTGGATTGTGTGTATCTGCTTGGTTAGGTTAGAAGATGCGCTCAAGAGTGTCTGGAGAAATTATTTGCTTCTCTCCGATCGTCTACTGTTATAAAGGAAGCAAGTAATACGGTATATGGTTTACTTAAAGAACATAAGCCTGTCTTATCTGAATTAAGCTCGACAAAGATGGAGGAAGGTTCTAAGGTTGAGTCAACATTGAAACCCGAGAACGCAGAGGCTGCTCATGTGCTAAATGTGCTCAGTGCTATAATTCCATTTCTCTCGGCCAAAGTTAGCTCTAAAGTTTTTTCAGAACTTTGCAAGCTTATGACTTCTCAGTTTTCGCCGCTGACGAGGCAGATTCTAAAAGCGATTGATTCTATCTTCAAGAACTCAGAAGATACAGTTATTGTTCCTGAGATAGAAGGAGTCATAACTTCTTTGACTAATTATCTATCTTTACACGATAAGAATCCTGCTGACACTATCGTGCATGTGAGCACCCTATTAAAAAGTGCTTTGGAGAAAGCCTACTCAGACGAACCGTTATTATGTCTAAGAAAACTTCCACTAGTGTGTGGGTCATTGGCAGGTTTTTTCCCCTCCCGAACTTATCAGCATCTAGCTCTTTTGTTCTTCATTGTGCACTAGTGTGATGAATTCTAACTTTCATTTCCTATGCTTTAGGCCTTCTGACTTCCGCGGACGACGTTGCATCCCAAGTCTCAGTTATATTAAAAGATTTGATCAGTAGCTACATTGATACGAATAATCTTCTGACCGAAAGAAGCTTGTTGTGTGAAGATGAGGATAACTTAACCGGTGGAGGCAATATAAATGCAGCAAGATCTGTCTGCAGAGTCTTTGAGAGTACCCTAAACTCATGTGATGGAATTCCAAAGGAGTGCATTTTAACTGTCACAGCTCTTTTGATCGAGAAACTTGGTAGGTGTACTTTTACTCAGGTGCTATATTTTGTCATCCTGAACATGTTAGCTACAGAACAATTTGTTACAAGCAACTAATTTGCTTTCCCAAAAGTCAATTAAGTTTGGTATGAATAAAACATCTCTGAAGAGAAGTATTTGATTCTATCTCCCATTGTTTCAGGAGAGCTTTCATATATTCTTGCAAATAATATAATTTTTAAGCTTGCCGACATAATGAAAAATGCAACTGGAGATAATTCTAGCTCACAATATGTAAGTTTTCGATAATTCTCCCAGACTAATCTTCAATAAGTTTCTACAATTTGTAAATTATTGTTATGAAAGGTCCTATGCTATGGTTGGTTCAGAAGCTTGTGAGTTATTTTTCTGAATGTCCCAGTGGATTCCAGTGAATTTAGTACTAATGATGCATTCAATAATATTTCATAAGTAGGAAAGGAAACATCTTGATGCTCATCATGTTTTTCTGTGTACAGTTTCTTACGATATAATGAATCCATCTATATTAGCTAATTTATATTAGATTGGACTTATCTGCAGGTTCAGCAATGCATTGGGTCTGCAGTGGTTGCCATGGGGCCAGTGAGGCTACTAACACTTCTTCCTATCACCCTTCATGCTGAGAGCCACTCATGCGAAAATGATTGGCTAATTCCTATCTTAAGAAGATATATCGTTGGAGCAACTCTTGACTATTATGTCAAACACATTGTTCCCCTTGCAAAATCATTGATGCTTGCTTCTAAAGGAGGTAATCTTCTATGCGGACAATGAGAATTTCATTAACATTAGATGGGATAGACTTTCACCTTCTAGTGCTTTGGGTTTGTTTACATATCAGGGTTTACTATACTAATCTGCCACTTGTGTTACTTCATGCGAGAAAATAGTTACCACTTAGTGCACAATCCCTTAATGATTTCTTTGTGTCTGCCAATTTTTTCACTAACATTTTCTTTTATACTTGTTCGTTAGCTAAAAAGTCAGCTCACGGCAAAAAGTTGCGGCCATGTGGTCACGAGCTGCTGAGACTGTTACCTGCCTTCTGTAATTATCCAACTGATGTGCCCCAAAATTTTGGATCATTAGCCAAACTGATGGCTAAATTTATCAAGAAAAAATCTTTCATGCATGAAGCCGTGGCCGTTTCTCTACAGGTGAGTTCATTCACATTTCACCTTTATCATAATATATTCCAGAAGTTCCGAAGTTCAGTCTCATTAAAGAATTTCCTTGTTCAGATGCTTGTTAATCAGAATAAAAGAATACCTAAACCCAGTACTGATATGGGCGAAGCAAAAGCCGATATAAGTGAAGATTCTAAACCAGAGTTTGAGAGTAGATTTCACTATTCGAGGAAAGCTTCAACTAAAAACTTGAAGGCTTTGGCATCAAGCTCCGCAGTATTGCTTCAAACTCTTGTCGATTTATTCACTGTTTCAGGCACAGAGATCCGTGCAGACTTTAAGGTTTACAGAATTTCTTCTTATTCTCTGCATTTCAGCTTATAACAAATTGGTTTAAGGTCTTCCATTGTCTCCCAACTTGGAGGACTACATTGTAGATATTCGTTTGCTAGGAAATATCTTCCTTTTTATGGTGTGATCAAACTCAGATTGGCTCTTAGTTATTTCATAGGCCGGATTTGGTAATTATTTTTAAACAGAAGCTATACTTATAAGCATAAACAAAACTCAAAATCTTTAACTTGAATTACTATGGTGCTTGGTCAATCTATTTCTTTTCAACGATGCATACGGCGATTTATTTTCTTTGTCAATAAACTATTTTTGCTTTTATTCAACAATCTCTTCAGCATAGGACAGTGGGGTCTTTTGATCTAAGTGGCTAAGTCTTTATGCTCTTACAATGTCAGGCTGCAATTGGATGCTTAGCTTCTACTTTGGATTCTTCAGTGAGGAAAAAGATTCTAATTTCCTTGCTAAATAAGTTTGATCCTGCTGGTGAAAGCGAGATCGAAGGGAAGGTCGATCAGTCTAATGATTCAATGGATGAAGAAAAAGACAACCGCAGTACTACAAAGACACAGTTAAAGAGGTATAGCTCTAGATATATGATATCCCCTGTTATATTTCTTTTATATTGAAACTGATCCTCGTAAATTTTCTTCATGACATGTTAAATTTCTTCAATAACAATACACATTGCGTTAGCATGACATCATGTGTATATCAAGTTTTTCTCTTTTTCTCATTTACCTGGTACGACTTCTTTGACACTCGTATGCAGGAGTGCTGTGCTTGATCTTGCATCTTCATTTGTTGAAGGAGCCAAAGAAGATCTTATTGAGTTGATTTATAATCTTGTTCGCCAAAGTTTTCTGGTATCTTGCTACAGCTTAAGTATTTTATGCGATAGATTTTTCTATGTAGAGGCTCTGATCCATGAGTTGTTTTGGTTTTAGGCTACTAACGAGGCTGATCTTCGTGGGGCGTATGAGACTCTGAGCAGACTTCTGGAGGTTGTTTACCTCATCTGAACTTGTTGTAGTAGCTCTTACTGATCACTGGGTGATACTTCATTCTTATTAATGTGGCTGTGCCCTCGTCGGTGCAGGAACATGGTTGGTTTTGTTCATCTCATTTTGCAGAGGTGATAAAGATGCTACTCAGCCATAAAACTCTGGAGGATGCAGCATCTTCTAAAAGTCGATTTGCATGTTTCCACGTTCTAATGGCGCATGGAATTCAGGTTTAAATATATATCCTTTTGTATCAGTTGAAACTTGATATCAGTTTGACGTTTGTTATTAACGAAAGACTATCTATCCAAATTGAACTATAGCTTTAGTATATCCATGCTTTGTTTATAAATGTGCAGGACGACCAAAATTCCTGATGTTTTACTCTTATTTTTTTTTTCTGCAGTCGAGCTCTGAGGAGGAGAATGAGAAGGCTTTCCTTATCCTGAACGAGATGATCCTGACGCTTAAAGATGTAAGCATATTGTTTGCTTCAGTTTGTTGTGGAAACAATACAAATACTAAACAGAACTGACGTTTTCTGTGCATTATTTTGCCTTTACATATACAGGGGAATGAAGAACATAGAAAAGCAGCGTGTGATGCACTGGTTATGGTATATACCACCCTGAAAAATTCATCATCTATCACCAGTGATGAACCTTGTCCCAAATTAATCAACATGGTAAGTACATGAGATGAGCGCCCAATAACAATTTAATCCACTCTCGTTATCTCTCAAATGACCAATAAGCATTCATTGATTCTTCAGATAACGGGTTATATTTCTGGATCATCGCCGCACATAAGGAGTGGAGCAGTGTCTGCGTTATCTGTCTTGATATACAAAGACCCTGAGATCTGCCTGTCGTCACCAGAGCTTCTTTCCTCTGTTTTATCATTGCTTCACACCAAATCCATTGAGATTATCAAAGTAAGTCTACCTCATTCCTTTTTAATCAGATATCAAAATGTAGTTTCTCTTAGTATGTGCTTTTGGTTTTCTCCTTTAAGTTTCTCATGCGTCATCGTGTATCTCCAGGCTGTTTTGGGGTTTGTGAAAGTTTTAGTCTCGACATCGCAAGCCCAGGACTTGCAGAATCTACTGCAGAACCTCTTATGGGAAATTCTTCCCTGGTCGTCTGTTTCAAGACATTATTTCAAGTCAAAGGTAATTACGAGAACAGCGCTTAAATTTCGTTCCTAGTAATTTTCAATTCTCGTGCTTCTTCAAAACGTTGTGGTTGTAAGATGATTGTCTAACGAAAAATGTGCACTTAGGTAACGATCATAGTTGAGATTATGATAAGGAAGTGCGGTACCCGCGCAGTCCAATTAGCCACACCAGACAAGCACAAGAGTTTCCTCCAGACAGTTTTAGAGGTCTCTCTCTCACCTTCTCCTCTGTAAAGTTTCCTGAAGATCTCAGATTGCATAAATATCCGAGGTAATGGCAATTATAATCATCTTGAAACTTTTATCTTATGTGCAGAACCGTTCAGGGAAACCAAAAGACAAAGAAGAGACCAATGATTCACAGACTACATCCATCGACCCACCCAGAGAGTAAGATACTCTAGAACAGCAATTATATCGGATAATCAAGAACACATATCCAATCAAACCATTGCTTGCTCATTATATGCATAAATGAATTGATTCTTTTTTTTTTACAGGCCACGAAAAAGAAATAACAGAGAAGCCTCATCAGAAACAAAAACCAAACGAGACGGTGGCAGAGGACACAACAAATTCAAACGACAGAAGAGCACACATCATCAGAGGCGGAGCCATGCCTAATGATACATAATCTGGAAAGCACCATAAAATCTAATCTGAGAGTCAGACAAGTTTTGCAGTTTTCATATACCACAAACCGAACATGGTGTGTATCTATACACAGTAGATTATACACATCAAGATTTTTCAAAGAGTAGTGTTTCAAACTAAAAAAACCCCAGAGAAAAAAAAAGAGAAAAAGATTTTGTTATTGAAGATTTACAAATTAGATGGCATGAAGTTGATCAAGTATTGCATCAATCTCTATCCTGCTTCTCACCAATCTGTGAAACACTTGCCTCACTAGTCTCTGCAAATCCTCCAATCCAACTTCCATTCTCCGGCAAATCTCCTCCATCTCCCCCACCTTCTCCGCAACTTCCTCCTCCTCCTCTTCCTCTGCCGGAAACCTAAACCTCTCCGCAAATTCCATTAACCATAATCCAATCATCTCCATCCTCTGCAACTCCTCCATCAAACCCCCTGTAAAACCACCACCAAAACGCTTCTCCTTCCGTTTCATCTCTTCACCAATCCTCTCTTGGATGTTCACGGCGGCGCTAGCCCAGCTCTGGTGTTTCGGAAGCGGCAATGGCGCCACAGGAAGGCTGCTTGTCTGGCAAGGCAACGCCGCGACTAGCACCCACATCACCAGAACCATGACACTGCTGATTACGTATACCGGCATAGCCGGTCCCGAGGCTTCTGCTCCACGTGGCAGCACTAGATTAGCCACCATCGCCTGAATCTGCTTCGCCGCAGACCAATTCTTGCTGACGTGGCCAGATGAGCCACCTACGGTGACGCTGCTGCGCTGTCCAAACGACCACGACCGTGACGTCATCCTTCGGTGGTTACCACTGCCACCACTTCCGCTGTTTCTGTCTTTCCCGTCGACGTTTAAGCCAGCGAGGAGGCTGGTTAAAGCACGTTTGGCTCTGCGAACGCTTCCGTCGCATAACGGCCGTTGTTTAAGCGCCGTGACGGCTATCTCCGCCAGACGTCGGCTCTGTCTAACGGAATCAATTCCGTTAACGACGGCGTTACAGATATCCAATGCTTTCAGGATCCGATCAAGCATTTCCGACAAAACCCTCTCTAAAGACGGCGATTTGGAGATCTGGGTCGTCGTCAGGACAGATTTGAACTCTGTTTCGCAGGACATGAAAACATCGAGGAGATTCTGTAGCCATGGGATCGAGAGAATTGGATCAGACGGCTGAGAGCCGCCGGCATCGGAGAAGGAGGAGGAGGAGGAAGGAGGCGGAGACGGCGATGGAGATATTAACTCGGAGAAACGCTCGGCTACGTGTTTCTGGAAATACTCGAGTTCTTCGAGCTCTTGCTCGTGATTGACGTCCATGGAGACGATCTGGTTGCGGCGGATGCTGATTCGGCTCAGGAACGAGCCTTGATAGTCTGTGGCAGGCGCCATTAGTGTAGTGTGATGAATCAAAGCACACAGTGGAGTTTTTTTTTGGTTACGGGAATAAAGGAGAGGTTTTTCAAGGAGAAGAAAACAGAGAAATGGGGAAAAAGAGATTTTTTAGATGAAAGAAGGAACTGAAATGGTGGAAAACATGTCTTGTCGGAAAGAGTTTTTTTTTTTCTAATTCTTTAATGTTAAGCAGATTCGTATTTTCTTTTTCTTTTTCTTTTTTGGGACTCGCGAGTAAAAGAATATTCGTCTTTGGTCTCTTGACGCTTTTCTTACGTCTATTTTTTTTTTTCTCAAATTTGAAAGAACTTTCAATTTTTTTTCTTCTCTTTGTACAGATGACTTGAGCTAGTTAGAAAAGGTCTAAAAAGTCATATTTTGATGTGTCTCTCCTATTCAAAGGTTGTTTTGTTTTCTTTATATGACATAAGTAGTTACATTGAAGTTATTTTTGTCGAAAAATGATTAATTTGTATTTTTTTCTTGGAAGATTAATTAAAATTTGAATATATTTTTTTAGACACGTGATGTCACATTTGTTTGTTTTAATGACACAACATTCACTTTCTCTTCTTATAATACATCACAATTTTTTGATATTTTGTAGTTCATAAATAAACCAAATAAAAATATTCAGAATAATTTCATCATCGAATTATCAACTAATTAAAAATTATGCTGTTTCACTAAGCTCGTGAAAGAAGATCAATGACTAAATAGGATGCTAGGGTGAAAGATATGCGAAGACAGAAATACTCTTGAGTCAGAATATATCTGCAAGTGACATCCAAACGTCTCTCTTATCAATGATATGTTATTTATTAATGTTTTCCTGTTTAACGTATTATTCACTTAACCGGTAGATATATCAATATAATATTGTAACATGTATTTTTATTTGAATCAGGTTTAATTTACTTATTCGTTTTTCCACAAAAACAAAATAGTCTCGTAGACATGATTTTCGGAAATTGAGGAAAATCCCATGAACATGAAAAAATTGAGGAAAAATCCTCTGGTGGTGTAATCCAAAGATTATTTGATGCGGAGTCAAAAACAAGCCCATGAAAATTGGTCGAAGAAACAAAAAATGTTGAAATAATTTAGTGACTACTGATTAGGTACAGGGTTGGCCAACATGAACATAGCCTTGTGTGTTCCTAAGCCCGATACACAAAGCCAAATTCTAATAAAGCAGGAGAGAACGATGATAATAATGAAATTAGTACAGAATTATTACAGATTTACACTATCATAGGGTCACATTGTTTGTACAAAATTGCTTCACATTTCTGTCGGTTACCTATTCCTTGAGTTGGAATGTACATAGATGTGACATAATTGAATGCATGCTTGATGTCAACAATAAAACAAACAAAAAAAGTTTGAATGCATGCATGTAACGGTATCTCTAGAGAAGCCAATGATACGATCATTCTCTTAACACGCTCTTAAAACCTATGCTAGCAGAATTTGTCCTTGAAATCTAGTGTTAGCAATGAGCGTAAAGATGCAAGAAAAAAAACCAAAATCTTTTTTATTATTTTATCAGTTTTTATCTTCTCGGGGAACTAAAATCTATTGATGCAAACTAAAAGCAATGAGAACAAACGGAAGGACGCCTTGACTAATTGACCAAGTCACTTCTCGTTTTCAGCTATTGAAAGTAATTTGTATTTGTATAATTTGTTTATTTCTGTTACCTAAGTTCTTGATTATTTACATGGGACACGATTTTTCCCTACCAGGCTACCACTTAAGAAACAGAGAAATGATGATTAAAAGTTTGGCACCAATTCATTACGTATAAATTTGTAAGGCATAGATTAATAATCATATGATTTAGAAACTGTTATACATATGTGAAATCTAGATTCGATACTGTTGGCTTTCTGACGAAGAACAAATCAGCTCAAGCCTAGAACCGGTATCGTCTCGATCTTATCAACGGTCTGATGGAAATTGCAGTCGGTTCAATTCAGATTAAATGTATAGTTTAGATTTGGCATTGGTTTAGCCAATTAAAAGAGCAAACCAACCGCTTAGCAAAGCAAACAGAGCAACGATCAGTCGATTACCTTCAAGTTTGAATGGCCGAGATCGTTTCTCATATTGATTTGAGCAAGTGCTTTTGCAAGGATGACACTTGACCAGGATCAAAGTTCTCATTCACAGACCGTAATTAAGTCATAATTCTTGTCTGCTTCTCCTCTCTTCTGTTTATTCTCTCAATTTTGTCCTTTTTGTTATTTCAAAGATGGTTTATCAAGGATCTTGATGATTTACTACTAAAACTAAATTACATTTCTTCGTGAGAGATCCAGATTGCGAGACAACGTGAGAATCATAGAAGGATCTGGAATATATTGCAATCACGATGCCTAAACCTAAGACTCTAAAGGTCTGGAATTTATAATACGAGACAATTACAATTAGACTAACATATTTATTTTTCACATTTATTAATTTACTCAAAGATGTTGATAGTTAACATTTACGTAATTAGTTAAAATTTCTGAAATTTACTAATCAAGGTTTTTTTTTATCATGCGAAAATGAGTGCAGTCAGATATATGGAAGCGGTGATTACGGTATCATGAAGACCTTTGTCCTTACAAATAATTATAAAATAATTTATCATGGTCGGTTAAACGAACCGTTAATGACGGTTAGAAAAGAACAATAAACAGTTTTATAACATTGTCGGTCCAGTTCTGTACTGTTATATTCTGCTATTTTGTTATTTCCATTAACTTTTTTCCATCGCTTTTTATATCTTTTCCCTTAAATATTGATTTAACACGAGATAGCAATCATGAGAAAGCCACGTGGCAATATAACTTGATGATTAGCTTTAATTTAAGGAAAGTAATTTACTTATTAAACTTTAAACCATATTATTATAGTTATACACAAATAACGCGCAATGAATATTTAAAAAATGTAGTTCACATATCAATAACATCGTATCGTATAATTGTCACAAAAGTATTTCAACAATCAAAAGCGACAATTAAGATTATTGTTATTTTGTTTAGCCGTCACTTGGCAACCACGAAAAATATTTAAACGCGTTCGATGTTACCAAAAAAGGAAGAACTTAAACGCGTTCTTTTAGAATTTAAAGAGGAATTTGATGGATAAAAAGAAGAACAACACCATAATTAATACTCCCTCTGTTCAGAATTATTTGATGTTTTAAAAGATTTTTTTGTTCAGAATTATTTGATGTTTTCATTTTTTAATGCAAAATTTAATGAAATTTTTATAATTTTTGACTTTTTATATTCTGTAAATTGTTTTCTTATTGGCTGAATGATATTAAAATGAATTATAAATAATATTTTTAGTATAGAAAAAAAATAAATGAATCTTTAAACCGTGTGCAAAACTTTAAACATCAAATAATTCTGAATAGAGGGAATAGTAATCAAATTCAAGTTTAATAACAGTGTTATCCAGTTCAAATGTAGTCAAAGTCAAGACAAATGCACCGAATTAACGGCGGATTGATAAGGGCTTTAATGTGCAATTTTTTATTTGGTTGCATGTGTTTCATTAATAATGAAACTTAAAAAAAACTCTTTCACAAAGAAAATACTAATGGTGAAATCAGTTTTGGCATTCGGTAATATCCCAAGACACTTTTCAAAAGCAAAAGTGTGAGTAGAGTAACTAAGCAACGATTAAACTTCTGATAAGGCGAGATGCCGAGATTAGTTAGTTTGATTAGTGGGAATCTGAGAGATTTACATTTTCAAGAAGTTAATTGGTAGGGGTGGGCGCGGAGCGGATATCCAGGATTTTGGAGATATCCGTGATCCGCTCCGCTCCGGCTGGATAATCATTTTTTTGATCCGTATCCGCTCTGTAATTATCCGGATATCCGTTTTCCGGATATCCGCCAGAAATCTGAATATTTGCCGGATATCCGATCCTGCTAAAAATATATATTTAAATAATAATATATTTAAAATAAAAAAAAATAAAAAATTCAAAATTTCATTAAAAATGACAATATTTTCTTTAAAAAAATTTTTTTTTTGTTAAATTATTAAGTTTTAATATTTATAATAATCAAATTTATAAACAAAAACTCACAAAAATTATATTTATATATAATAATTATACACTTTATATGAATTATTATCTATCTATATATACATATATATTTATACCGGAGCGGAGCGGATATCCGTCTTAGTTTTTTTTAGTATTTGTGATTTGCTCCGTTTTTAACGGATATTAAATTTTAGTATTTGCTTTGCTCCATAAAATTACGGATATTCGGATTTTTCGGATCGAATCGAGACGAATAACGGATCGAAGCAAATATAACAGATATTTTGCCTAGCCCTATTAATTGGGCAACATTTTTTGAATAATGGGCCGAGCTAAATCTTGATAAGGCCTTGACTTGCACTACAGAGTACAGACTCTCATATCAATGGCTCATGATTATTTTGCTAACCCTCAAAGGCTCAACGCCATTAACCCAATAAAGTTGTGCTGATCAAGCTGTTGCCAATATTAATATTTACTAATCACGGCATATTAGGTTTCCATTTAGCGATTTGTAAAAGTTTAAGTGTGATACAAGTAGAAGTGTTTGATTAAAAGAGTTGGAATTGATTAAATATTTTTTACTTGATACACTCTTAAAACTTTGAACCACAAATGTTAGGTTTCCCAATATATTTTTCTTTTCATTTTTTCGCACATTAAATTATCTTGTGTATGAAACTCAATATATTTTTTTCCTTTTACTCACACATTAGTATCATACGGAGATTTGTAGGATTTAAATTTCTTAGTTCATGTGTGTGAAAGTCAATATATTTTTTCCTTTTTGTCACACATCAAATTCTCTCATATCAAATCCACTCAATATACTAAAAAAATAAACTACTATGAATAAAACCAGATTTGACTGGAGTACTAGTTGACTACAAAGTCTACAATGAATTTTGAATATCTAAATATGCAAATATCGAATTCAAGAACACATAATCTACTTAATAGATCATTCAAAATGATCTTTTAAATAACAATAAATTAGTTTTATATCTATTTATGATCAGTAACAATTTTTATTTTTAGAAAAAGAAATAAATCTGAATAACCATTTGCCAAAACATACTTAATCCAAACATACGGTAATTAGTTTATCTGTTTCTCCAATGCCCATCTTGCAATATATATATTTATATATCTCATAACCATTGCAAAAGAATTATACAAAATAATGGGAACTGTAAAACGATCAGCATGCATGACAATCCTTATATATCTTTTGATATTATTCCTTCTTTCGCCGTCCTTGGCCATGGACCTTCCCGTTGTATCCGACGGCGGTAACCGGAGCGACGTGGAAGTTGGCTTCATCTACAAAACGTGGATGTCCAATCACGGAAAGAGGTATGTCAATTCTCTGGGAGAGAAGGAAAATCGTTTTCAGATCTTCAAGGAAAATCTCCGTTTCATCGACCAGCACAATGCCAAGAACCTCAGTTACCAGCTCGGTGTAACTCGGTTTGCTGACCTAACCGTCCAAGAATACCAAGAACTTTTCTCTCAAACCCTTAAACCGAGACAAAGGGATCTCAGGATTAGTCGCAGGTACGTGCCACTTGACGTAGATCTACTCCCCGAGTCCGTTGACTGGAGGAATGAAGGTGCAGTGTCGGAGATTAAAGACCAAGGCACTTGCAGTGAGTACTTTTACTTGTCTTTCACATTCATACCATATCATCCCACCGTGATTTATAGACTAGATTTTTTTTTTTTTATTTAAGAAATTTTGCCATTAGTACATAATCTGATTAGACTAGGAATCCGAACATCTAAATTTGGGTGTTTTTTTCCAACAGAAAATTTTGAACTCGTGACCATTCATATTAACCTCGCTCTGCTTTGAATGTGCTGAATGCTTGATTATATGCTATATTGTTAGTTGTTTGTTTGCAATGTATTTTTTATTAAACACCCTTTTGAGATTGTAAATTATATCAACGGAAACTCAAAGAAATTTTGTTTGTAAGTCATTTTAGCATCAATTATAGTTATTAGTATTTATTCGCTGTAGAGGTCTCTAGAACTTAGAAAAAGAAATAAGGGTTCTATTTCAGACAAGTTATAATACAATATGGTCAGTAAATATCCTGGTTGTATAGAATTGAGAAAGAGAATGGTAGAGAGAGACTAGAGAGTATAAATAATAGATACAATTCTAAGTTCTTGAAATCTGTACATATATAGAATATATATGCTAATAACTATAAAATACTAAATTGATTTACACTTTAATAGGGTAATCTCTCTAGATCTTAATATTAACAAAATATTCTAACTATTAAATGCAAATACTTGCGTCTGAAGCAATCGAATAAAAAAATATGAATTTGTGATTTTATATTTATTTATATTGTCTTTTGTTCCATGTTTGAAATGAAAGATAGCTGCTGGGCATTCTCCTCAGTGGCAAGCGTGGAGGGAATAAACAAGATCGTGACAGGAGAGTTAGTCACATTGTCCGAGCAAGAACTGGTCGACTGCAACACGGAGAACAACGGTTGTTATGGCAATGGCTGGATGGATGTAGCTTTCCAGTACCTTATCAATAACAATGGCCTAGATTCCCAAATGAATTATCCATACAACGCCGTTCAAGGATACTGTAACCACCAAAAGGTTCACCTACTCATGCTTATATTTCACTACGTAGTACCTAGGTTTCACTTTTGTTTATTATTATACGTTTTCCGCAGAATAATTCAACCAAGATCGTAACTATTGATGGATACGAGGATGTGCCAGCAAATGATGAGGCTTCCCTAAAGAAGGCGGTGGCTCACCAGCCCGTGAGTGTTGGCTTTGACAAAAAATCCCAAGAATTTATGCTCTATAAATCGGTATGTATATATGCATATAGCAAATCCTACATTATAAATCTATTGTTTGTTTATGTATACAATGATCAATAAACTTGTATGGTCCATGTTTTGTTATGTCATTAAGGGTATATATAATGGACCCTGCGGGACAGCACTTGATCATGCGCTTGTTATCGTGGGTTACGGTAGTGAGAATGGTCACGACTATTGGATCGTGAGAAACTCATGGGGCACGAGGTGGGGTGATGCTGGCTATGCTAAGGTTGCTCGTAACTTTGAAAATCCAACAGGTATATGTGGGATTGCGATGGTTGCTTCATACCCTACCAAGAACTAGACTTCCAATACATTAGAGAAAATACTAGGAAATTGTAATGAGTCTTTGGAATTTGTTAGATGTTTTAGCCATGTGTGCTTTTTAAATAATTGAAATAATTTATAACTTTCGTTTTATGGGAATTTTTTGTGATAACGTATCAAATTCTCTATATGTGTATACTTGCTCACTTCTGATTTTGTTAAGGCCTATGCGAGGTTTGTCACGACCACGTGGGGTTTGAGTTATCGATGTTGCTAGGAAAGACATATGATCGGTTCGTCAATTTATTAGCTTTAAACCTTTCAATTGCGCAACTGGATTCAAATTTGCTTCAAGATCTTCACGTTTGTTTACCTTTTAATTTGTGCTCTCCTAAATATAATTCTCAACTCGGTTTGTTCTTCAAATACCTAAAACGTTCTTGGTTACGCACATACTATCGCAAGAGTCAATTATAGCAAAATGATATGGAAGCTTATTCCACATAATACAGTGTCTCTTTTTTTGGTTGGTTTGACTAGGGAATAGAACAGGTATTTCTTGGCCAACTGGATATCCTATTTTTCTAAATAAAAAATCATATAAAATGGTGTTTCCCGTAATATGGGACCCATTACCATGTGATGATGATGGTTTTATAAAATAGATGTTTTTAAATAGATATTAATATTTTTGAACACAGTTTGTTTTTTTCTTAAAACTAAAACGTCATTTATTATATTTACCTAAATACAAAATTTATCCAATGAAAAAAAAATCCGCAAAATATATTTTTTTTGTATCAAATACAAATAGTAAAAAAAAACTAGTTAATTTTGTATTGAAAGTTAAACATACATCATATAATTTAAATCAATTTTATTCTTACTAAAACATCACCTAGTATAGAACTAAAAGAATAACTTTATTAAAAGTTTAATATTTAAGTTTCCAATCTTTAGTAAGTCGTAGAGCAGAGCCTTGATTAATTGGTTGACTTTTCTCTATCACTCTCAACCAAATAGATCGGAAACTGTTGTATTGAGATGGACAATAGACCTCAAGTGTTCATCAATTTCCGGGGAGAAGACTTGCGGCTGACGTTTGTGCCTCATCTCAAACATCATTTGAAAGAAAGCAACGTGAATGTGTTCACGGACGCAGACGCGGCTGGAGAACCGTTGAAGAATCTCTTTAACCACATCAGAAACTCAAGGATCGTGATCGTCATCTTCTCCATTAGCTACTTGGAGTCAAAGTGGTGTTTGGACGAGCTGGTTGAGATCAGGAGATGCTTAAAGAGCAAAAAGCTTGACTTTGTAATACCCATCTTCTTTAAGGTGCGTGCTTCCCACGTTAAGGAACAGAGCGGAGATTTCGGTAGCAAGTTTCTAGCTTTGCAGAAGAAACATCCCCGACTCAGGATCATGAGATGGAAGCGAGCTTTGAGATTCGTTGCTAAACAAATTGGATTGGCTTATGCTGCAAAAGAGAGGTACTGTTTGAGGAAATTATCAAATGCTTAGATCATTTATGCATATTTTAAAGGGTGTCTTTATTTTTATCTTTTATGTTTTTTTTTTGGTTTGTGTTGCAGTTCAATTACAGAGTTGGATTTTATCAAGAATATTGTTCAAGTTGTTACCATACTTGGAGACAGAATTGCATTGAAGGACAATAATAATAAAACAAATATTACTCCTCAAGCATCAACGGTGTGTTCTTAGAATTGGTTCTGACATATTAGTAAACTATTTTTTCCTGTGTGTTAAAAACTAGACATGGTGACTAATCTTTATTGCAGACATTACAAGGAGAAGCATCAAATCTGATTTTGGTCGATGTCAATCACTTAAACAAGCTCCTCCATTTCTCAAAGACATCGGAAGCTCTAAATCTGGAAAGATCTTTTGTTAGAGGATTCATGTTTGGTTTTGCATGGAAAGATCTTATATCCTCGATGCAAATTGGCAACAGTTTAGAGATTTCTCCTCCTGTAAACTCTCTCCAGTCTCCTATGAATCTTCACAGCTTCCATGTACAAGGAGATGAGTCAATAGAGAAAGCTATAAACTTGCTTGCTCTTCACATGATTTCTGAGCAGACACATCCTGCATTGATCTTTAGTAACTGGGACAAACTTGATCATGACACCAAGAACTATATCCTCTACTCTGCAGCAAAGAAAAGCCAGATACTCAAGGCCTACGATGAAGTCTCTGTCTCTGCCTCTTTAAAGCCTTTTTTGTCCCGTAATATTCCTACTTTAGCCGAACTACCAACATGGGACAACAAGATGTTACAGCCTAAGGTGCCTCAAGATTGGCCTCATCGTGGTCATAAACGCGCCATCTCATATCATGACAATAGAGATCATGCTTACCCTTTGCCTTGTAAGTAATGTCATGAGATATACCTGAAAATATGTCGTCTAAATACTGACTAGCGATTTGACTTTTAAATCGCAGATGAAACAGAGCCCTTGCCCTTGCTCTTGGTTAAAACCCCTGTCGCAAGTCAAGTTAGCAATGGATTTACTGGCGATAGAAAACATAAGAATAAGAAACGACATGAACGCCCAATTTCCATCTCGTCTCTGTGTTACTGTTTCAAGTGTTGTTTGTGTCTTACATGCGGACCAAAACATGATCCGAAGGATTCACAAAAATGAAACTTCAATTCCAAGCAATTGATGAGCTTCTTTCTTTTACTTGTGTCTGAAGCAAAAGCCATTTTTCACCTTCTTAAAATTGTCTAAATAAAAGCGATGCCCAAGTAGTCAACTGCGACCAAACATGTGATTTTGTATGTAACATCTTCTTCACATTGCAATCTTATTGTAAATAGAAACGTTTATTTTCTTTACTGTTTAAGAAACACATTGGACCCCATACTTAAAAATCTCAAGCCCCCTGAGTAGATTCAGCGAGCGGAAATCCTAATTACTAATCAAATGGATCATTGATGTCTATTATCAAATCTCAGATGGTATGTCTATTATCGAATCTCAAATGGATTCTTGATGTTTGTTTTTTTTTTATGTCTGTTATATATTCATCTCAAACAAAAACCTCATTCAAAACCTCATTTCTAATTTTCGTTATGGGACTCCTAACACATCCTTTCGAAATGAAGAATTTTATTAGCCTATATCCCAAGTTAAATTTCTCTCTAAAACCAGATCCTATTTGGATCAATAAACTAGACTATAATCCATATTTTTAAAAGTTTTGAACTCAACCTTAATTAGCAATAGAATTGATCATATTCTTTTTATTGCATAAGGTCCCATCTCACTTTTGATATTGAGTATTCTTAACAATGTCTCCACTTAGACCACGTAATCATGTAATCGAAAAAGAAAAATACAGATTTGTTGACAAAAGGTTAAATATAGAGTAAGACTGGCTGGTTTGCAAACTATTGACCAACAAACAAAAGACTCCATAATAAAACATATATTTAAACAATTTTCTGTATAAACGACAGATTTGTTTTTGTCGCTACATTGAAGATTGCACATCAAAGGTATGAACCTAATTTGTTTATTGTAGCAGTTGAAGATGCAATTTGGATAAATATTGGATTGCAAAATGAGACTGAGACTCTTCAAAACAATAATATATTCCACCGTTTTAGAGATAATATATTTTAGATGTAACTCACATTCAATTGGCTAGATTTGTATCGATTTGTATCTTGTAATAAGAAGTTCTACAGAAGGTTATGTTGTTCGGATCAAGTGTATAAATTGAGCCATTAATCGGTTTGTCAATAATAACACAGATATTCAACCAGAACGGTTTGTTTATCCTTCTTACTGAAAATGACATTTCAGCATTCCATATTTTAAACCCTAGAAAAGTTACCACAAAAATGGACCCATGTGCACTTACTAACCGCGTCTGGAGAGTTGGTAAGAATATATAATGTATAGAGCCATGTGCACAATGTTGGTTAGTTGACTTCAATAGTATTACAATACACTTCTCCTTCTTCATTTTCATCTGCAAGAAGGCACTGTCTAACTCTTCAACATTCACATTTCAACCATGACGAAAATGATGAACTTCTCTCGGCCCCAAGTGTTCATCAGTTTCAGAGGTAAAGGTCAAAGAGACAAATTAGTGAGCTTTCTTAAAAAGCAATTAGAGAGGAGCGATATCAACTTTTTCATGGACGAGAACGAGGTAAGAGGGATGCCGCTCACTACACTCTTCGAACGAATCAGAGAGTCAAGTGTTGCACTCGTCTTTTTCTCAGACAAGTACCCCGAGTCATGTTGGTGCTTAGACGAGCTCGTTGAGATCAAGAAGCAAATGGAGAAAGGATCTCTTGTCCCTTTCCCAATATTCTACAAAGTGAAAGCTGAGACCATCAAGAGACAGACTGGTTGCTTCGGTAACTCTCTCCTCAGAACCGAGGATCTAGTTCGCAAGAAAGTTGATCGGGGAAGCTACAAGTCGATACTTGAAACAGAGGCTGTGATTTGGGAACGGAGGCAAGCTCTCGTCTCTGTTGGAGGAAGAATGGGGTTTTCTTATAAACATAGCTCTGATGAGGCTTTCGTTAGTGATCTTGTGGTCAAACTTAAGGAACTGTTAGACTATATTCCTTCTTCAAGAAATTATCAGATTGTCATAGAGAATCCTCTGATGCATCCTCAGGAGGCAGAGACGTCTTTATTACTAAACCTTAAGAAATCGGATCTTGATGGCGCCGTTTCCCTGGCCACTGATCATTTTGTGTTTCTTGACCTGAACTCACTTAAGAACTCTCTCCTTGCTCAGCGACTAATCGAGAAGGATCAAGCTGGAAAGTTTTTCTTGGTATTGTTAGGTTCTCTAAAAGACTACAATAAGGTTTTGTTTCTCAACCCTTTAGAGTTTCTTCGCTGAAATTGTTTTGTCAAATCAATTGGTACTGTTACTCTGTAGGGCTTTGCTTTCAAGCCTCTCTTGTTTCCCAAGAAACCTCAGCAGTTTATTGGAAACAAGCTTATTGTCTCCTCTCAAGATATCCAAGATCAAAGAAACTCTTTACAAGTTCAAGTCACTAGTAAGTTTCTTGCATAGAATGCAGTGTACAGGTCTGTTACATATATCCTTCATTCGCTCTGAATTAAAACTGACAAATGACGCAGATGTGGTAGCAATTGGAGAGAGTAATGACAATTTTCAGAACCTTCCTGACGAAGATAACAACTTTGATGATGTTTTCACCTGCTTTTCATTGTTATGTAACTTTATCAAGGGTTTTTTGATGAAGATATCTAGCCCTCCGTCTCGAAGAGTATCCATCAGTTTTGGCGAAAAGCAACTCAGGGAAAACCTAGTGAGCTTTCTGAAAACTGAACTGGAATCAAACCGAATCTCAGTGTGTGTAGAGGATGAGATGAAGAAGAGGATCAAAGAGTCAAAGGTTGCAATAATCATCTTCTCGGCCAAGTATCCTGAGTCACAACATTGTCTTGATGAGCTCGTTGAGATCAAGAAGCTTATGGACACAGGAGAGATCGATCCCTTCCCCATTTTCTACAAGTTGAAGGCTGAATCAGTTAAGGTAATAAAGGGATGGTTCCGTAATAGGCTTCTCAAGATAGAGGAAAAAGTGCGTAAAAACGTCAATAGGGGAAATGATAACTCTATACTTGATACCGAAGCTAGAATCTGGGGATGGAGAGAAGCTCTTGCTTCTCTTGTCTCAAGACCAGGCTTGAGCTATCAACATAGGTAATATTACATGTGTGTGTATTTTTTTTTTTTTTTCTTCTATGTCAACATTAGGTCTTCAGTGGGTTTCTTGTTGCAGCTCTGATTCACTGTTCGTCACTGATGTCGTAACCAAGGTAAAGGCACTGTTTACATTTAGGGAGAGGCAGAAGAGCTCTGTTTCCTATATGAATACTGATCTTATCGTAGAGAAGCCTCTGATGCATCGACATGAGACAGAAGCAGCAACAACAGCAGTCAAATGCCTTGGTGATGTCTTATTCCACTCCCTAACTTCGTTCTTAGAAGCTCTAAACCTTGAAATTACAGATATTGAAGGCTTCACAGAGATCGCCAGTGGTTTCGTGTCTCTGAGCTTGAAAAGACACACTAATCTAGTGTTCCTCAAATTAAGTTGTCTTGATAATTTGGTCCGATTTCAGCATTCTGATTCGTTCGAATTCCTTAAAGAGGTTTCTCCACAACCCTTATTTTCTTCTTGATCTCAAAGCAACTTCTGTGGCTTCTCATAACATTCTTTTGCTATTATTACTCCGCAGGGTTTTGCTTCGAACCCTTCAGGTGTCATCAGATTTGAAGAGCCTTCTCTGTTCTTGGAATTAGCATCCAATCAATCGTCTGAGAATAGTCTTATTGTCTCACCTCAGAATCATAAACACTGAAGTAACCATTTCCACTGTATAAATCACTAGTAAGTTCGAAATATACTGTTTCCTACTACATTAGAGAATCCCTCCTCGTATACTGAAATTGACAGATGATACAACTTTGGTAGCCATTTTTTTTCCCCGAGCTGGCTTCAGTTAAGACTCTGTTTCTTGGGTGTCAAGTTAAGACTCTGTTTTGTTTTTGCTTTGCTTTAAATGATCAAGAAGATGGGCGTATGAGAAAATATACATATATTTGATGTTATCTTCCACTTTTTAATCTCTTCCGTTAAATCTTTGTCTGTTATTCAATCAAACATATCCCATTTGATAACAAGTTTACTTATAAGTTATAACCCAAGAAATGTATTTGTAGAAAAAAAAAACATTTTCATCTTCACATATTCCTTCTTCTGGAGGAGCAACGTTGAAGCTTCACTTCTTCAATAGGAATCGGACTTTCCGGGAAATTACACGGCACAACCGTCCCCGGCTGCTTCTCCGGCAAAAGCTGACACGGCTCAGGAGTCACACCGCTCGTAAAACCGGACACGTCCGTACAATTCCAAAGCACTTTCTTAGGTTTCTTAGAAAGCGTGATCGTCACGTTAGAGATACATATTCCAGTGAACTGATCACCCGATATTCCGGCCAACTGAGCCGGCATCGTCACGTTCTCGGCGACCATGTCTTGGTAATTAATGTTTTGAATCACCGGTAAGGCCTTTGGATCGTAATGCTCGTCGGGATGCGAACCGTAACTTCCGGTCATCCAAAAAACGTATTTCATTGTCTTCATCGTCATTCCTCTTACATAAACATCCTTCACGTATCCTCCTCTACCAATCGCTGTTTTAATCCTGCAGATTTTTAAGACAAGGCACTAAGGCAGTGTAAACTAAACCGAACCAAACTAAACCGGTTGATTCTGATTACATACATACCTGATTCCAGATTCTGAGTTAATGGCGACGATGTCTTCAGCTCGAACATCCTCAATTCCGCCGGACATTTCGCTGCCGAGAGCGATCACGGCACTGTCAGGGGAAATGCATGTGAGCCGTCGGATCAAGAGCTGTTTCGTGGGCATGCCGTAGCTGATTCCGTATTGATCCCACCCACTCTTCACGGCGATACAATCGTCGCCGGAGACGATGTAGCAGTCCTCGATCCTCGTGTTCGTACATGAATCTGATATAATAACCGGATGAATTTTAACCAACCGGTTCTTGGTATTTCAAAATTACCGGTCTGATTTTCAATATTTCGTACCTGGGTTGATCCCGTCGGTGTTCGGTACCGTAACCGGTGCTAATATCGTCAAACCTTGGATTACAATATTTCTGCATTTTTTTTAAACAAAACAAAACCGGTTTAATAGTTTGACAATTTGACAGCGGAATGGGTAAACCGGATTGGTTTTCTTACCTGCTGTAGACCGGGTGAATATGCCAAGAAGGAGAATTCAAGAAAGTGAGATTGGAGATTTGGATACCATCAGAATGCATAATCTCAATCAAATACGGTCTTGTGTATTTTAACTCTCCTCTCTTGAATTTTCCCCACCATGGTTCTCCTTGTCCATCTATCGTTCCATTCTCACCTTTTCAATTCAGAAAAAAAAAAAAAAAATGCACAATTCGAATTTTAGGAAATCTTCGTATATGTTGGTTAATTTCGATACTGTTTGAACTACTAACCGGTGATAACCACGTCGGTTAAGTTTAAACCGAAAAGGAGACTGATGAATCTTCCACCATCTGTGTCTCTCCCTCGTCCGTACGAAGGCAATGGCTCTATCACTTCATAGTCACTCTCTTCCTGTCAATAACGTTAGCACACACAATTTTCATTATTAGCTTACAATTAGTCAAACTTAATGATTAAACAGAAACTGATCTTATTTCTATAGACTATTAATTTTTCTTCTTCACTTGACTTAATAAAAGAAACAAAAAGTTTAAGTCGGTTTTAGTTTGTGGTTGTTTAGAACCAAGAATCTTTTGCACGGTCCTAATTCTTTTTATTACGACCAAATTCTTTTTATCAATCATGTGTTAGTAGTAGTACCCTACAATTAATTCAGAGCACACATTCTACTTTTTTTTTTCTTAGTCTTTGTTTATCCTAAATCATTCATCAAGAAAATAAGAAATTGTGTATCAAGAAAAATAAAATGTAGTGACACATCTACGACCTTTACATTTCTAAGATTTATGATTATATGTTACAAATATAGTTTAGGCTAAGGCCCAAGAGAAATTTGTGGCTGAGATTTGGAAGAGAAATAGACGGGTGAGATCTTTCTAACAAGAATGGTTCTCACACGTCCGATAACGATCCCCACTAACTTTGCGACTTGGCCTATTTTGTTGTCTTTGCGTAACTCCTTTCTTACTCTACCCTCTACTTTTAGAGTAACGCATTCAAAACCTAATTAATAGTTTGCTTTAAGCAGTAAGTTAGAAACACACTCAAAACGAAAGAATAGTCTTATAGGTCAACAGTTGACCTACTGAACCTCCCATTTTTTTTTTCAAAGATCCCGAGTTTTTCATATCTCCTAATTCACACGTAACTTTTGTTTTTATCATAATTTTAATGTGTTATACATTTAAATTTAATATAAACAAATTATTTACCAAGAACAAAAAACGTAAATTGAATGGCCCAACCAAAATATTATCAGAAAGCTAACCAGCAATATCACGTGTATTTATTTATGAATGGCAACAACAAAAAATTTGCAACATAAAAAAAAAAAATGTATTCGTCAAAGACGTTTGTGGAGTTTTGTGTCACGGGGTATTCCTAATTAATAATTGTATATTTAGCAAAATGGAAGGGAAAAATAAATTAAATACTTTATTGGTTATAATTATGATGGAGAAAAAGGGGGAAAAACTTACTTGGGAGGCGAGGAGAACAGCATCACGGTGGAGGAAAAGCGTGAAATGGCTGGTGAGGTTAAAGCTTCCGGTGAGCCAACGTCCGGCGGGAACAAATAACAATGAGCCACCATGATCTGCGAAACGGCTAAGTTGTGACACTGCGTCGCGAAACGCCGCCGTATTTGAGGTCACACCGTCTCCTACGGCGCCAAACTCGTCAAGAGACGCTGAGTAAGCTCTACACGACACGGCCGAGTACTCGAACTCTTCTCCGCGACGGTGGCCGTGGTGGCGACGATGACGATGATTATGAAAATCGGTGGCTCTCAGGTTATGTTCGGCATCGGCGGCTCCGATGAAGCCACCTTCGTGGCTGAGAAGGAGGAGGAGACTGAAACCGACGGTGGAGAGAAAGGTTCGCATGGCGGTTTGGTTTTCTGGAGGAGGAAAAAATGAAAATGGATTATTATTATTTTTGTATGAAAGGCTAAGTTTATATATACAAGAGACCAGACCCCACAACATAAATGGTTGGAATTTCTTATAGTTGTAATTTTGTTTTTTTTTTAAAAAAAAATTGCTCGTTATATATTTATTCATATGTTGTGGAATTTGAAATTCAGTAGTATAGTTCTCTAAGTTATAATTAACCAGACAGAGATGAGTTTAAATCATAAAAAAATAATAATAAATGTGGAGAGTTTTGTATTTAAAGGCTTTTCTTTGTATTAAATAAATTTATATACAAATTTGTTTCAGATCAAACAAAATAAATAAACAACAACAACAACAACAACAGTGCTATTAGCCCTCTGGTGGGTAAAGTTTCAATTGAATGAGCAAACACAAATTCGGAAAATGCAACCACTAACTTTGAAACCAGCATTGTAGGATGAGACTTCCCCAATTTGAGCAATTGTGTTGAAGATTTTGTTAGTCGTTGGACTTTTTTAACTTTAACTATTCTGAGAAAGTCAGATATACCTCAGAGCAACACCTCGTAAAATCCGTTTAGATCAAAGTGTATGCTTTTAGTTAAAAGAATATTTTAAGAAAAAATTAACATATAAAAAATTTGGACAAAGATGGATGGTAAATTGTATTGGCTAAATAAACCGCACAACTACATTGTCGGGCATGAACAGATTATGAAAAGTAACAAGACTTGATATTTCTAATCATCTAATGTATAGTAGTATTTTGGTGAATGGAGATAGTGGACTGCTAAATTTATTTTTTAAGCTCAGAAAAAGTGTATATCATCAAATACTGATGGTTATATATTTAACAATTACTAATGTCAAAGAATATACGTGACTGCCAATATGGAGGCCAAAATATAACACTGTATATATATTTGGACTAGCAAACTGTAGACATAATCCTACCTGGTAGGCCACTTCGATTATTTACTTACTTTACTACGACGCTGCATTTCGGTTATTTCCTTACTTTTCTGAAATTAATCGATCTGCCTACCGTTGTTGTTTACAATTGTGTTTGTAATATAATTAATCGATACATAGATAATTATAACATATACTTATACATACAATATGATATGCTGTGATCATAATCCCCCCCCCCCAAAAAAAAAGAAAACATATGTATAGGCGAATTTCCACTAATAAAATCAAGGTCAGCTTAGTGCATGGAATGGAATGGGAGATGCTATGTCCCTGGAACCCAATATCGGACCTAATTATAAAAGGGGTTCTGAATTCTTTTTTTTTTCTCCAACAAGCACTATATTCACTACACACCAACTACGTAATTAAAACACAAAACGACCGCAAGTCATTGGCAGATACTGTGAACTCAGATTCTCATTGCACATGCAAACCATACCAAAATAGAGCAAAATAATTTGACTCCTTGAAATTGTACCTAATTCTTTCTCTAGTAATTTACCTAATCATCCAAATGTCTAATATCGTTTACCAAACTCTGTAACGGTTATTAAGTACATGCACATGGTTCTATATATACGTGAATATTTGTGTGTAGTATTCCCTATTTCCTATATTAAATGAGATAAGTTATTGGCCATAAAGACTTTTCATCTCTAATTTCGGATTCGTGGTCAAAATCTCTAACTAACCCCTCCAGTCTACCAATCAAAAACTTGTCGAAATCCAAAAGTCAAAAAGAACACCAAACTAAACCTAATAGACTAAAATTTAACCTAATCACTCTAAATGGCTCTACACAAAACAGACCCGAGGGAACCAACGGTT